GAGATCGCCGGACCGCAGGCCGTCCCACCACGGGCTCTGTCCCGGCCCCAGCCCCGCCAGCATGGCCGGCCGGACCGTGCGGGCCGAGACCCGGAGCCGGGCCAAAGATGACATCAAGAAGGTGATGGCGACCATCGAGAAGGTCCGGAGATGGTGAGCGCTGCCCCTGGGCCAGGGATACAGCCGAGCCACCTCCTCCAAACGCGTCCGCCCTTTCCTGGCCAGCTGCCCCCGCCCACCAGCTGTGCTCTGAATCGCCTGGGCTTCCCCTTCCCCGGCAATTCCCAGAGGTCTACAAAGCGTGGTCCGGAGTGGTGCTTTCCCAGAGCGGGAGCCCTCATCTATGCCCCGCCCCCTGAAGCTTTGACACTCTTGCAAGCTCGGCCCCGGGTCTTCATTGCCAGAGTCCCTCGCCAGGCCTTGGTGGCGCCCTGCTGAGTGCCCCAGGTGTCTGCAAAACCGCAGCTCCAAGTTATATCCGTCTATGCCCTGGTCTTTACTAGGCTCTTTCTGCTTCTGTGCCGTTAGCGAAGCTTCGCTTACCCTAGCACATCTCCCTGACCCCCTGCTCTAAGGGTCTCTCTTTTGGGCCTCCCTAACCCAGTCTCCTGCCCTCCCACAGGGAGAAACGCTGGGTGACTGTGGGTGACACTTCCCTTCGAATCTTCAAGTGGGTGCCTGTGGTGGATCCCCAGGAGGAGGTGAGCAAGCCCAACCCCCAACAAGCCTTGCATCTGTGCAACCTCAGACAATTTCCATCCCCACCTTGGCCTCCACCTTCAGTTGGCTTGGAGACTCCAGTGTGGAGCTCAGGCAGATGGTAACGATTATTAGCACGCACGCGTGTGCACACACACACACACACACACACTCCAATGCCCCCACCCTCTCCAAGTTAAAGACCTAACTCAGCCTACACAACCTGAGACAGCGCCTCTTGCTTCTCTAAGGCTAGATTTCTTTATTTGTATTGAGGGGATTTGTAAGTGCTCACCAGACAGCTGGCTCTGACCTTACCCCTCTAACCCCCAGGAGCGGCGGCGGGCAGGAGGCGGGGCAGAGCGATCCCGTGGTCGGGAGAGACGCGGCAGGGGCACCAGTCCCAGAGGGGGTGGCCCCCTCATCCTGCTGGATCTCAACGGTATGTGCAGATTCTGAAATGGGGAGGGAAGGAAGCTACGGGAGGCCCTCTGGCCAACCAACTTGGCTTTTGCTTCCGCAGATGAGAACAGCAACCAGAGTTTCCATTCAGAAGGTTCACTGCAGAAGGGTACAGAGCCCAGTCCTGGGGGGACTCCCCAGCCCAGCCGTCCTGGGTCACCCACTGGACCCCCAGAAGCGATTGTGGAGGATACTCAGCCCCCACAGCTGGGCCAAGAGAGAGGTAGGACCAGGTGGCTCTTAGGAACCCTCCCTTCTCCAAAGTTGAACCCACCATCTTGTCCTTGTACCTATGTCAGTGTCCTCTCTCCCTGGTCCTGCTCCCCTGGGGGTAGGGGGACCTCTCCTGACCCTGGCAGAAATTGCATCCAGCTGCAGTCCAGTCCTCTGGCTGAGTCCGCCTTTGTAGGTAGCGTATCACCGTCTGCAATTTTTATGCAGATTTATTTCTTTGCTTGCTTATTGTCTTGCCTGTTACCATCTCGTGCCAGCCATACTGATCTCGTCCATTCCTGTGACATCAGAACACCATGGGATACATAATAGACGTTCAGTAAATACTTGTTCGGGGTGTTAATAACTGACAACCAGAGCGATTAGTAGCAGTAGAGTAATGGCTAACAAAGCCCCTTCCCTGATAGGTGTTCCGAGCCCGTCAACGCTTGCTTTTTGGTTTCTCATTTAATCTCCACTATTGCTTTCTGGCAGCGATGATCCTATTATGATTCCTCTTTATACACGAGGAGCCCATCATCCAGAGAGCCAGTGAGCCAACACGGGCCTGAGCCCTCTTCAGCTTCTCTGTCTTCATATAGTCGGCCCCCTGTCTGGTCGGTACTGCTTCCCAGGTGTGACTGATGTCTGCGCCTCTGGCCCTGCCTTCTCATTGCTCACTTGTGCCTGCTCTGGCCTCCCTCCCTGTCCCTAGTGGCCGCCACGCAGCTGCAGAATGGCTTTTCCTAAAGCACAGATTCGAAGAGATTCTTTTTCTGCTTCAGATCCTTCAGTGGCTCCACCTGGCCTCTGATTCTTTAGTTTGACCCTGGGGCCTTAACAAACTGTGGCCACAGGAACTGTTCCCCCACCACGAACATCATGACATGGTTGGGCCTCAGGACCATGTGTAGATTGTTCCAGAAACCTCTGCTCATGTAAGATGGTAGGGTAGAGAATACAGCTCCATGACAGAGAGCTTGTCTGACATGGCTGAGGCCCTGAGCCCCACTTCTATTCCCACAGAAGTGAATGAGTGAATGAGGAATGAATGAATGACAATTCTAGCTAGCTCTCACTGAGCACTTACTGTGTGCTAAGGGCTTTACCTGTATTCCTTCCTTTGACCCTCACTGCAGTCTCTTGTGGTATTACTGTCACTGTTCCCATTCTGCAGTTGATTCCATTGAGGTTCAGAGAAATAGCTTGCCTAAGGTCAGGATATGGATTTTGTACAACACAGAATCTGTGGTCACTAAGCATGTATTTCTCTCTGCCTAAATTCTGCTCCCTCTCTCTGTTTGTCTCCTGGCTCACTCCCAACTAACAAAACCCAGCCTGAATCTTCCTCCCTTGGCATCTTGGTGCCCTCCTCTGGCTCCTCTGGTGTCTTGTGTCTGGTGTCCTGCCCGTTGCTTCTGCCCCCGGTCTGTTCTCCTGGCACAGAGTGGCTGCTCAGGAGGTGTCTGTTCATTTGGCATTCCAGACCCAGGGGACACACCCGCAGGCGGTACTGATGACCCCCCGAAGCTGACCAAGGAGGAGCCTGTTCCAGAATTGCTGGAAGCTGAGGTGAGCGAGGCCAGAGACTGGACTTTGACCTTGTGGGGAATGGGATTCTGGGGGCACAGGGAGTCTGCATTCTAGGGTCCAGGAGGGAGATATGGACCTAGAACGCACTGAAAGTCTTAGCTGAGGTTGAATTCTTGGGTAAAAAGAGAAGTGTTTTAGAGACACCATCCTGAGGGCTGAATCATGGCTGATTTAAGAGCTCTGGAAGCCTGCGATGAACTTGGTGTTCCTCCACAGATTAAAAACCAAAAATCTAGGCTCAGGGTGCAGCTTGGCGCTGCTTCACCTCCTAAGTGTGCACGGAGAGCCTGGGCCCCCACATCACACAGACACACATCCTGAGCTGTCAAGTTCGCTTTTCCCTACAAGGACCACCTGATTCCCTTCCCAGAAAAAAATCAAATTCTTTCCCCCAAATGGTGTTGCCATTATTTTTGGTCACTTGGTCCTGGGCCAGACTCTGGGTCCCCAGGGGAATAGAGTGGAAAAGGCAGAGGCTAGGAGGCTGTACTCCTGGGTTAGAGTGGAGCTCACACCTGTCCGCCCTTCCTCTTCAGGCCCCCGAAGCTTACCCTGTCTTTGAGCCAGTGCCACCTGTCCCTGAGGCAGCCCAGGGTGACACAGAGGACTCGGAGGGCGCCCCCCCACTCAAGCGCATCTGTCCAAATACCCCTGACCCCTGAGAAGCTGCCTGCCTCCTGTCCTGTTGCTCCCAGGGCCACTTTGGCTTTTTATAAATAAAGACCCTTTTGTAATTTTGTGTCATGTCATTTCCCTGTCCAGGCTGGGGAGGGTCTTTGGAGACAGTTTTGGCTCATGCTCTGTTCCTCAGGTGGGGTCAGTTTTGGCTCATGCTCTGTTCCTCAGATGGGGTCACCAAGGCTCTGGGATGACCTGTATCACACCACGATTACGTAAGCGGGGAGGGCGTGAGCCAGGACCTCGCCTCCCTTGCTCTCCCACCCTTCTTTACCACCTTTTCCCTCCCCGGGCCCAGCAGATGTTGCACCCCCATTTCACTTACAGGAGCACAGGCCTAGAGGGATAGAGAGGCCTGGGAGGACCTGGCTTTTCCCCTGCCCTCAGGAAGCTACAGCATCCTGTCTCTAGGGAACCCTCCCTTCCATGGGGAACTCTCGGGCCAAACGTCTGTGCCGAGTCCTCTCGTCTGTTGTGCAGTTGTCACCTCCTCCCAGATGCCTTCCTTGGTTCTAGGCTCCATCAACATCATCTCCTTTGAGTTCCCATAGCCCTTTAAGCTTCCTGCTCTTTGTCTTAGCATTTATCTGGCTGTTTGGGGACCATGAGTATGTATTTCTGTCTTTTAGGCTGCAGCCATCGCAAGAACAGAAGTAGGTTCCCAACTATGCTTAACGCTGGGAATACAGTAAGCCTAGCAAATGCTTCATGAATGAATGAGTAAATGACAGGGCTGGGCATGGCGGCAGACACTTGTCATCAGGAGACTGAGGCAGGGGGATTCTGAATTCCTGACTGTCCAGGCAGCGAGATGTCTCTGTTAACTCTATAGAGTTTTGGAAGTCCTTCCAATGCACTTCCTGTTTACTTAGGTAACATTATGTCCTTCTGGGGTCTTTGAAGAGTTGAAGACAGATAGTTATAGTTTTTCTTAGTTATGATAAAAGATAAATTAGATTTAAAACTTTAGACTCACAAAGATAGGATAGATAATAGAGTATTTTCCTTAATTTGCCAAATGTAAATACACTAAATATTGTAATTATAATTCTTGCTTGATAACTGTTTTGTATATATATTATTTTACTATGTTAAAGTTAAAACCTTCTTTTTTATTTAGACAGAAAAGGGGAAATGATGTGGGACTATTCCCCTCTGTATGCTGTGAATATGTTTTATTACCATTAGTTAATGAATAAAGTCATTTTGGCCAATGGCTTAGCAGAGCAAAGTCAGGCAGGAAATCCAAACAGAGAAATAGAAAGTAGGCGGAGTCAGGGAGATGTCATGTAGCTGCCCAAGAAACAAGAGGTAACAAATCACAAGCCTCATGGTAAAATATATAATAATAGAAATGGGTTAATTTAAGATATACGCGCTAGCTAGAAAGACACCTAAGCTATTGGCCGAATAGTGTTGTAATTAATATAGTTTCTGTGTGATTATTTGGGTCTGAGAAGTCAGGAAACAAAAAAGCAGTTTCTGCCTACAAGTTCCTCTGTCATTGTTTGTGTGGCTCTAGGTTTCTGCTCTCCGACTCTTAGTTTGTTCACTGGACAAATGGAGTAATGACTAGGCTGCACCCCCCCACCCGTACTCCACCCCATCCCTGGTCAGCGCCCCGTGAGAAACTTCAACCAAACAAGCGCTCCTCAGTCTGTACTTGTCAAAGAAGCAGGGTCAGGTGAGGTAGCCCTGTTTTAATTTTTAATAAAAAGAGAGATTGAGGTTTAGGAAAGAATCTTTTAAAAATGTCACAGTGTCTGCTGTAGTGATAGTGAAGCCGGGACAGGCTAGGAAGGCCGCAGCAGGGTTGCCATTGTATGCATTCCTATTGCTGTAGAAACAATGACCAGGCCAAAGACTGCCTTGGTGTCCCAGGGATTCACAGTGTCATCAGTCTGAAGGTCAGAAGTCCAAGATCAGTGTCCTGGGCCAGAGTCAGGAGCCTGTCCTGCAGGCTCTCCAGGAAAATTTGGCTTTTGCAGCTTCTAGAAACTACTTGCATTCAGGAATGGATTCAGACTGTGGCTTTGTCCTCTCTTCCACCCCACCTAACCGTTCTTCCTTTCCGCTTCCGTCACTGCATCTCTTTCTCTGGCCCTCCTGCTGCTCATGTGGCCCCTGCAGTCTTGCTGGCCTTCCCAGGTGTCCAGGGTCAGCCCCCCATCTTGGAACTTAGTCCATCTGAAAATCCCATTGTCATGTAAAGTCACGTGCTCACATAGGATGGACATCTCTCCCGTTGTTGTGTAAGGTCACGGATGCTGGGGCTTAGGATGGACATCTCTGGGGGGGTCAATAATCAGGATGAAGTAATCTCAGCAATTTTCTGGGTGTGTGAGTCATCTCATTATTTCCCGAGGTGACACTATGAAGTCATATAAACGCTCTACAAACTGTAAAGTGCCTTGTAAATTTCAAGTTCTGGGTTTGAATTTCACTGTTTTCAGTTTCTTATTTTTAATTTTATGTGTGCAGGTGTTTTGCCTGCATGTATGCCTAAGTATGTCCATCACCGAGTGTGTGCAGTGTCTGAGGTGACTGGAAGTGGCTGGCAGATCCCCTAAAACTGGAGCTAAAGTTTCTAGCTGCCATGTAGGTGCTGGGAATGGAATTTGAGTCCTCCGGAAGAGCAACCAGTGCTCTTAACCTCTGTGCTATCTCTCCACCTTTTTTTTTTTTTCAAGACATAGTTTCTCTGTAGCTTTGGCATCAAACACACAGAGATCTGCCTGTCTCTGCCTCCGAAATGCTGGGATTTAAAGCATCTACACCACCACCTGGCTCCAGGCCCATGTTTAAAAGAATTAATATTTTAATTAATCTGTAGGGGCGTGTGTATGTGTGTGTTTACATGTGGATATGTGCACATGAGTGCAGGTGCCTTCGGAAGCCAGAGTGTCAAATACCCTGGAGCTGAGGTCACAGAGGATTGTGAGCCACTGTGTGGGTACTAGGAACCCAAGTCCTCTGGAAGAGCAGCCAGTGCTCTTGACTACCACCTTTTCTCCAGCCCACGTGGTGGTCGTTCTCAGTGTGACCTCTTTGTTCTCATCTGCATTGTTTTGTGATCTGTAAAATGGGCACAGTGATAATGTGGGCCTGGTGAAACTATTCTAAGAATTGAATGAGGAAATTCATGGAGAGAGAGCGCCTTTGATTGAGTGCACAGTTAAAGCTCAACAAATAACAGGGTTTTTTTTCCCTATCATCCCATATAAGATAGGGATATACCAAGGTGTACGGCAGGTACCAGAAACCTGCCTGTCATGGGCAGGTTCTGGCTCTATAGCAGGTATCCATTTCTGAGTGGCCTTAAAAGATTCAAGTCCAGTCTTCCCATTTCTTTTCCTCTCCTGGTCACAGGCCTTGGGCTTCCATACCCCTATCTTGGGCTGTGAGCTGCTCCTTCTCTGGTGACATCCAGCTGTGACGCTGTGCCTCCCCTTCCCTCTCCATGTGCACTTTCTGGGGACTCTCACACTGCAGCTCCCTCTTCTTCCCTACTTACCCCTGGCCTGTGTGACCTGGATGTTCTTTACCCTGTCCTAATTTTTTCTTTATGAACATTATATCTTCCTGCCTCACCCATATTCTCAAGTTAATTCCCTTCCTCCAAATTCTGTTCTGAGCCTCCAGACTCAAATGCCAAATGGTGACACAATTGTAACATGAAGGGGCCCACACCACTTCCCCCTCTTCTTAAAAAAAAAAACAAAGGAAAATATCCATAGTCCATTTTTTGGGAATGTGGGCGTAGTTTTCCAGGCTACTTCCTGCTGGTTGGGGGCGCTGATAATCTTATGGGGACCTAAAGAAAATTTAGAGTTATAATCAAGTCCTGACTGGAGTATCCTGTGAATCCTGACCATCTCAGGCAGCAGTCTTGAACCTGTTCTGGATGTAGAACTCAGACATCTGGGCCATCTATTCCTGCTGGAGATTTCTCAGGTAGTCTTCCTTGCTCAAACTGGATTTTTCTTATTTCAGAATGAATCCACAGCCTCTCATTTTCTGTGGAAACAAAACAAATCCTCTTCTCCAAAGTAACATACCTTTTGACTTCAATTTTGAAGCCAAGGTATTTTCAAAATACCTAACTTGGATTAATTCAGCAGCATTTGTAAGTCCTTCCTCAGCATTCAAACAATTCAAAGAAAGCTTTATAGCATACAGTATCAAGATTCTCTGTATTTTCCATCTTTATGTGGCTTTACTTTAATCTGTATTTCTTTTATTTTTACTTTTAACTTTTGGCTTTTTAAAAAATTATTTATTTATTTATTAAAAATTTCCAC